AGCCCGCAGACTGAATCGTTTCTCTACTAGTAGCCATAGTCATTGGTACGTTAGAGGCAATATATATATATATATAATTACTGGTACAACTATTTATCGAGGTGATCGATGCTCTTGTGCCAGCTGCTGAAACCGATAGTATTCATCTGGCAACGAGGGCACTTAGGGGAGAAAATCAAATGAATGGCCGATAACCCATTCGAGTAGATTAACAAGGCAGCCTCTCGTTGATCCATACTCGAAAGTAGAGTCTGTTCGTGCTAGTTCCTTTACAGCGACGGCAGTCCTGTACTTTCTAGATTGAATTTTTATTCGCCCGTTTTATCGCGCGTGTACGCGACGGCACTAGACGGCAATGTCGACTGTATGAATCAGCCATAATGACTTTTTCCTGGTTTCCTGATTTTTTTCTTTTATACGACAGTTCCAAGAAAAGTGGTCTAATTAAATAATAATAATAACAACAATCGACGCATGATACGTCTAAGCCGTCCGTGACGTAATTGACACTTGGCTTCTGTTCGTTGTAAAAACAAATCGCTCGCACTGTACTACACAACGATTTCGTAGATTCTCATTGGACTGTACCGATTTTCAAAATTTTTTGATTTTGCGCGATATCGAAAAAAAAAATTATACAAGTCTTAGGTTACGATGGGAGATATTCGCGGGAGATATTCCTGCAACGATTATGTTAGATCGCGAATAATCGATAATCGAACATTTTTTTTTCTCGATACTACCGATCTCAAGGTTATCGATCGTCATTGAGAATCACTGCCGTCTACCACGCAGTAAGGGTATGCCATTAATTAAGATCACGTTTTACGAGAGTTAACTACTTATGACCAACCGAGCATCTACGAGACTTCGCCGATCTCGGCGTATAATTGTTAATTATCCATACGAGGTAGCCGTTGACGATCGCCATAAAGAATATTCGCATTAACCGCTCCTGTTATCAGAATCTACTATTAAATGTCCGCCATTGATTTTCGAAGTGACCGTAATTACGAAGTTGAAAAAAAAGGCCAATTATCATTGGTACCAGCGATAAACAACACGGCAACAGCGTAAATGACGATCGGTAAACACGTAAAAATGTTCCGCCAAAAAAAATTTGTAAAAAAAAAAATTTTCCAAAAATCTAGTAATCAAAACGATTTGACAAAAAAAAAAAAAGATGAAAATTAAAGTGAAATGGGGTCCTACGGTCCCAATTGTCAAGACTCCAGAGCGCGCGTCAACCCCGAGCAGCCCAGAGACAAAAATAAGGTCGATTTAAGAAGTCAGGGTCGGAGATCATTGACATTAGCGGCAATCACGTAGAAAGGGACACGTAAGGGGAAAAAGGGGTTAATGACGTCGTCGTTAGTCCCGGCTGCTCCCTTTCGAGCAAGCGACAGACCCACTGGAAGTACAGAACCAAGCCTGGATCTGGTTCCCAGCTCTAGACAAAACCTGAACCTGAATATATACGTATACACAATGATTGCCACCTGGTCCCAAGTGAGAAGGGCCTGAACAGTCCCACAATATTCCTCGGTCTCCGGGCATTCGAGCGTTCTTGTATAATTCGTCCCACCCTCAGGGCGACAAGTCCCAAAAAAAAAAAAAAAAAAAAAAAAAAAAAAAAAAAAAAAAAAAAAAAAAAAAAAAAAAAAAAAAAAAGGAAAACCGTAATACCCATTCTCGGCCGAATCACGTGTCGTGGCGCCAGGTGAAAATTGGGCCTGATAGCATTGCCCGTGTATCAGCCGTTCTTCGCCGAGGCACCGGTAGCCTGATCGGACGCTGGTATATGTGCAGCGGGCACGTACGAAGTTCACTAACTCGAAACCAAGGTAGTGAATCAGGCCCATGGAACGAAAGTGGCTCCCGTAATGGGCATGATGACAAAGGGCTTTGTGTCGGTGGACACATTGTAAGAAGAGTCCTGGTACATTATAAGTCGGTTATAGGTTGGTAGGTGGGTATATAAGCGTGATGGAAACTGGAGCAGGTCATCCCGATTTGTCAGTGTATAAGATGGTGGAACGAGTTTGGCAAAATCTTTAAGACGCCACCCGTCTAGGTGTGACCGAGAGAAAACTTCCGGCGGAAGCGTTCGATTTCATGATTTAAAAAAAAAAAAAAAAAAATTACCACAAGCTACAGTAACGCCGTTAAGTATAGACCGGATCATTACGCTTTCGGAATTTTTTGGAGAAAAAAAGGGTTCGAAAAAAAATTTCGAGCAAGGTCAATTCCCAAGTTACTCAATTTAATCGATCGACAGATCCTCGTTATATAAATGAACTGGTTTTCGTAATATAATTACGATGATTCACGAGAGAAATCGATCTCGACGACGTTCTAGAAAAAATCACGTTAAATTTTTCAAATTTCCCGCGCGACTCGACTGCCCGAACAAATCGTAAATCCAACATGGCGACCGAGCACCGATCCACCTCTCGAGCGGCTCCTCACTTCGGCGAGTAAACTATTACGTCGTACTAGAGGGTCTTTGCGGTTACGCTCGAGGCGTCCTTTGACCTGACTGATGATGATGACGATGATGCCGAGCGACGTCCAGAGACGTCACTTCCTCATCCGGCATGGTCCCGGCGCAATGAGCCAAGCGATTAATGAAAACGGCTCTGCCGCCCATCGTCGATCCTTACTTGCACGACCCGTAATTAAGATCAAGACGGGTGCGCGAGTCAGTCGTGTGGTTATGTGTACGAGAAGAAGACGGAGAAAAAGAAAGAATTATGGAGAAATAGGTTCTGGGTAATTTATCGTGTTTATCCATACGCTCAAGAAACCAAATGGTTCCCCCGACCGCATCGAGCGAACCAGAGAGACCATTGCCTGTATGTATATATATGCACGTAGCACAGTAATAAGTTAACCAGTAGATACCGAACCGTCCGACCGACTAACCAGCCAACCAGTTGACCAACAATCCGACCGCGACGAGCCGCGTGTCTTTCGTTTGGCAAACGTCGTGGAATTTTTGTCGCCATTTTGCACGCGCCCCTTTATTACGTTCTTTGCGGCGGCGCGACGCTCTGCGGTTCGCGAGATATTCCCATTGGACGGGAAAAAGGAAAAAAAAAAAACAGAGAAATTCTAAAGATAAAAATATAGGATCCTGCGCGGATAAGGTGGCTTCGAAAGGTTAAGAATGTCAATTGTGTGAATTATGGAGAGAGAAAAAAAGTTGCAATTCCCTAGAGAACCAATTTTGCATACGCCGGGATCAGCTGGTGACGTAACGATACGAATTCTCAAAGTCAAAAAGATTCACTTGCTGACTTTCGTATGTACAGTTAAGATTTTTCTCGCAGTGGTCCAGATAGCCGACTCACAGACTCAGCGCGCCTGTAATAACTTATACGTGAAACGTTCGCGATCCGTGAGGGAAGCGCGTCTGCCAGTCGGTCTGTTATATTCGACGCAGGAGAAAAGAAAAAGAAAAGGGGGGAGAGAGAGAGAGAGAGAGAGAGAGAGAGAGAGAGAGAGAAAAAGAGAGAGAGACAAGAGCAGAGAAGAGCTTGATTCAGAGTTTCGGAATGCCTGACCGTAGGAAGCCCCGAGGTGATCCCTTATAAGGAAGCTTTTCAACATATATGGGTTTTTAGTCTTGAGAGCGGCGTTTTATAGGAGGCACGCTGTGGTGCGAGATTAAAGGAGGAGCTGCGCCGATCTCGGTGAGAGACTGTGAGAGAGGCATAAGAAAAGAGAGGGGAAGGGAGAGGGGAGGTAGAGAGAGCATGGAGAAATAAGTCAAGGAGTAAAGTGAGCAAGCTAAAGAAGTTACTTTGAGAAAATGAGTATATGTATCCTTTCGTACCGAGAGAAAGAGAGGGGAAGGGAGAGGGGAGGTAGAGAGAGCATGGAGAAATAAGTCAAGGAGTAAAGTGAGCAAGCTAAAGAAGTTACTTTGAGAAAATGAGTATAAGAGAGAGAGAGAGAGAGAGAGAGAGAGAGAGAGAGAGAGAAGAGAAAAGCGTTAAAAACAAAAAATAATACAATTTAGTGAAAAAAAAAGTTGGATAAAGAGGAACGAGATAATTGTGGAAAAAAAATTAATAAAATCAAAGAATTTTTGTACGATGAAAAAAAAATGTATCGAGTAAATCGTAAGCAGACACGTGCGCCAAATTCGAGCCTGGCGGACAGTCCGGGCACTATCCGCTTTCGTAACAAAAGGGCCTTCGGGAGGTCGTTCTCGAGGAAGCTATGAGAGAGTCCAGGTAAGAGGACCGCATGCGAGAGAGACCGATACGGGGGCCCTGGGGACTTTCTGTGCTGTTCGGCTAACGGGGCCCACACGAAATACTTGGATCTCGTCAATGTTGGGACTTACTAGTCACTTGGTATAGGGGAGTCTCGTGTGCTAGTAAATTATTGGAATGGCCTTAGGAATCGAGTAGGTATATAATCAGCTTTAAAAATTTCTAAGCCATAAATATCAACACGTGTAAAGTTATAATTTTCCTCTCTCTCTCTCTCTCTCTCTCTCTCTCTCTCTCTCTCTTACTCTTTTATTTTTCCTTTACACTATTCACGTAATATATTCCCCGTTACGAAAATTCCATCGTAAGGGCTCTTGCCCCTCGACCATAAATTAATTCTCGGAACAAAGAAACGAATTGGTAGGTTAACCAAGTGCATACCTACTTCCTCTGGTATCACGACCAGGAAGTCTCCTATCGCGATTTAACTATAGTTGAACCACAGAGATGACTATCTCAAGGAGTGTCGTCCAGCTCTTTGGCGGACGGTTTTGCAACGTATCGTTAAAGAGGATCGTGGTTCGACTATCGGTATACCTTAATGGCACGACTTTCAATGGGTTTGCAAAACATCATTTTTCCCTATAAATTATCGATCAGACCCGAATATCTACATAAGATAAAAAAAACGTAGTACGAGAGCAGTGACGTAACGATTGCTAAAAAAATAATGATTTCAAAAAATGTCATTTGCAAGAACAATGATATCCCTCTCACCTCTTTCATCCCATCCAGTCTACCCAGACTCTTCGTTCCGCGTAGCGGCGGAAACACAACGTCCTGCCAACCGGAAGTGGTTGTAGCACACGATTGGGGTTCACCGACGTTAAGACCTCTGGCACGACTCTTGCTCTTGCGCTTGTCCAGGAGATGCTTGGCACGGGACTTCCGGACTGGCGGGGCTTCATCTTCAGGATCACTCTGCACTTCCCATCTGGACGGCGATTTAAAGCGTCTCCTTGGCGTCGTCGGCGAGGTCACTGGCGAGGTCAGCCTCTGGACCAGGGTGCCAAACATCGTCATCATTGACACCGCGTATCAATTTCAATTGCCTCGCACAATTATTTTCACTCTCTTGCAGTTGTCATTGCCACCGGGATCATTTTATCCCCTGAACTCTTCTTCTTATCATTATCACTGGTACCGCGTTAAGCACTCTTCTCTTCGAATTCTTCTATTATCACTGCCCCGTCAATGCTACTAGTTTGTTTCTCCTATGAGTCACACGGAATGCATCACAAATTCGTCAACGAGATTTTCAACATTTACAATCTTTTCTCAATGTACGATTCTATTAATCACTTTTAAATCGAATTTTCACTGGCACACTGTTCCGTACAGTCTGATTTAGATCATTTCATCCGTAACGTTATACGCTCGATAATAACGACCGATCGATTTATTCCAATTTGGAACGTACATCTATCTGGATATATACAGGAATATATGCCGTTTGACAAGCGAACTCGTGTAACGTGTACCGCGTGTACGTAAATACGTACTGCACCGATGACACTGTCAAGGATGCTTTCGAAAGAGTCAAATTTAAAAAAAAGAAGAAAGAAAACGTCGTAAAAGAGCAGGTTTGCAATATCAGCGTTCGTGCCGATTACGTTAACGTTAGTCGCGAATACGTGGCGCTGAGAATACGCCCAGGATACATTGGCATCCGAGCAATGTACGGACTCCGAGTCTCAGTAGCAATGCTTATACTTGTACTCTGCTCACATACGTCTCGATCAATATAAGCATATGATCCAGTATACAAGTTTCAGAAGCATAAGGCCCAATCGTGCGTTCGCTTCGAACCAGGTAGGTATTTGCCTTGAGGCGTGCAGCACTCTCACAAGCACTGACTGTCCGACAGCAGCCAAAGCAAAGCAGCTCTCTCTGCCGAAGGAATGAATCCGAGAGGTACGTTAATATCCAGCTGAATAAATTGAGTTCAAGTTGTCTTTGAGACGTTAAATAAGATCGTCACCGATCACTCGCGAAAACATCTTCCTTTTATAAAGGGGAAAAAAAAAACCGTTACAATTTCTTTACGAACGTTGCGGGCACTCGCGTGCAAATGAATCCCGAGTACAAGGGAAGTAAGCGCGTTTAAAATGGCCTCGTTATCGTATACAAGAAACTTTTATACAATTGTATGCATAAAACACGCGACGTTACGAGCTACGATCGTAGTTGGACGCACCTCGATCACTCACTGCGTACGGAATTCAACTGGTCGCGCTGAAGACGGCGGCTCCCGACCGGTTGGCCTCGCTGGCACGAGACTCGACGATTACTCCCGAGCGCCGCCGAGCGACGACGAGTCCGCACGAAGTTAGCCGAACTACGCCGGTTGCCATAGTAACCGGGACTTATTTCGCCCTGAGGCCTCCGCGCTGTATCACGGGCCCTCGAATCTTGCTTGAGTTCGACGAAAGGGTGTTACCCCAGGACGAGTTGTGCGAGCTACGTGAAAATTGCATGGTTAACATTCGGGGTTAGGTACGACGAGTCGATTACGATGCTCACGATGTAATCGGACAGGGAATGGTAGCTCCAGAGGTTATGGAGTTCGTCAATCGCTAAGAGAGGGAGACACTGATTTGTGTATCTTGCTTACCTACTACCTTCTCCTGTGCTGCTATTTGCATGGGAATGTTGCACGATGTTTTGCTGGTAAGGATTTTACACGGTTTCCGTAATACCGCGGCGTTCTAGACTGAATTTCGCAATGGCGCGAGACGAAAGGGAACGATAAAAGATGGCGTATCGTACGCTCCTCGCTAATCGTGTGTCTGCTTTATAGGTGGAAGTGAGAGTGGATACCGTGATCAATCATACAGTCCTGTCACTCCGTACGGAGCTGCTCGTAATTGAAGTTTTGATGATCATCAGCCTTAATGACATAATTAATAAGGAGCGTGGATTGGCCACTGCGCACAACTATCACACTGAGACATTTTGGTACGCGCACGAGGTTCCTTCACGTACGATGAATCAACGGAAATCCAGTCCTGGTCACGTTTCAATTAACAAAAACGTGCCAGCTTCCTCCGTTAAGCGCAAGAGACATACAGCTCGGGAAAAAGAAACAATAAAAAAGAGGATAAAGAGTGGAAGCAGGAGAAAAGAGAAAACTCCTCGGAAGGGAAAAAAATGCCCCAGTACGCGTACGTGGCCCGGAAACTGATCGGATCGAACGTTCCAGGAATGCCACCGAGAACGAGGAGTCCGCAGCTGTTTATGGTTATACCTAGTGTATCCTAACCTCTAATTTTACTGAAACCAGTGAAATAGAAAAAAGTCTATCAACGGTTACGATCCCGTAGGTCCAATTTAGATGGAGAACCTAAGTCACTGTGGACTACCTAATTCGAGTGCCACGCCCTTTTTTTTTTCTCGAGACCAATTACCAAGAGTCCGTCGCTTCTAATTTGGACCGAAAATTTTATAAACAAGGTGGGTATCGAGCTGAAGTTTTTCAAATTTTTCATTAAACCCAATATCGACATCCTGACCAGGGTCAACATTCTTGGACACTTCAGGCCGTCTCAGGTTCGATTTAATGCATTGGTGGAATCGTTACGGACCAATGACGCGGCATTCTTCGTGACGGGATCGGATTTCCGATTAGGTGCTGGTATCGATAGCCTGGAATGTGGGTGCAAGAAATGGGCAGGACTCGCACAAACTCCAAGAAAGAACATGATACACTGTCTACGAGGTGTCTCTGTCCTCCGGCGATTCCAGTCTCCTTGTCAATCTAATGCACAAGCACTGCGCGGCATGGCCATTATCGCCAGCAGGAAGTTGAAGGTGGTCGGCCCCTTCGTAGAATTGATTAGCTTGTTTGACGCTTCGGAACGTGAATTAATTAGGCCTCCTAATTATCAGGCTCTTATCGGGCCAAACGATTTACCGTTCGACGTCACGTTTCTTCAATCACAGAATAAGGTTAGCACGTTCTAGGTCAAATATTCTAGAAATGCAAATGCACATTTTAAACCGGTACAGCACGTAGCATACGTTATCCGTTAATTTACAATTTTTAAAGAATCTCAAAATTATTTCAGGATTACCCTTTTGACACCCGGCCCCCCCTGCGGTACACGGGCCATACGCCCCTGGTACAATCTCAAATAATTCAAACGGCTTATCCGGCAATGAAAGTGATAATACCGGGAGAGCCGAAGGAGGGATTAAAAAAGAAAAAATCTCAAAGCAGCGACAGAATCTGAAATCTCGAGAGGAACCTCCGTGAATCTCCGGAGCTCGTAAAGAGATAGTAAGCCAACAGTTAAATTCTCAACGCGGCGACAGGTGGAAGTGAAATAAATTTCAACTATCGCGGAATCGTGTCCAAGAGAGCCAGGGCATGTCTCTCTTTATTTTTTTGTACACCAATGTGATTTACATTGCTTCAACCATAGCTGTTCTGTATATATTTATATACATACTCATATATATATATATATTCAACAGACGCTATATATTAAATGGCATACCTCGAGTGGATCCCTAAGTAAAAGAAGTAGACTCCTGGCTGCACATTGTTTTTCGTGGATCCTCAGCATCCTGACGCAACATCGAGTCTCTTGCTATATTGCAAAGCTCCTGCTGCTGCTGCCGCCGTTACTGGGGCTACGTGTAGTATCTATATACATATACGTATAGTATCTATACGTACGTATAGACCAAGCTACCTATACCAGTAACCTATACCTCGCGCGGGCAGGTACAGCAGAACCGAACGTTTCCGTTTCTTCGACAAGAAGCACCGAGTAACACTCGATCCAAGTCAAGTTCAAGTTATATCCACTTCCGACAAGCACCGGTAGAAAAGTACGTAGAAAAATCCATAGAAAATGGTATTGTGCTCGGGTACGGGTGTAGGGACTTTTTGTCGAGTCGTCGCGCGGTATACCGACGTCCCACTAGGAACACGTACGTGCTCTAACGAGTCCTAAAGTGGTACCATACACATTTATGTGCTCGGAGCTCCGTCAGACTAGATAAAGTCTACCCCCGTTGCACCAGACAAAAAGTCCATTGTAAGATTCCACTAGTTTATAGGTTAAACGCGAGGATTTCGGGTATACCGAATACGGGGGAATCCTCTACTCGCCAGAAACGTATCCGACGTGTCACGTGACCTGCGCAGTGACTCACTGCGCAGATCAGATACCCGACCGGCCCATAGGCTAACTAACAATACATAATACGGTTGCATTCCGTATCGATGACTTTTGAAAATTCATCAACGAGAAAGCTAATGAATAATCGATCGAATATCGCGATCGAACTGTGCCAGCACGAGAAACAGCATATCGACCACGCGGAGCGAAATTTTCTCCCGCCTTGAGGAATTCAAAGCGCGTTCGCGTGTCCGGTATAAGTGCACTGCCGGGGCGCGGGACACTCCGAGAAATATTATCCTTTGATCTCGCTGCGGGTCTGAAACCGACGTGGAATTAACGACTGACAGCCAGTTACCGAAGCCGCCCTACCCAGTTGTTATCACTCATAATCAAAAAGACGGAAGTAAAGGCTCCAAGATACATTGAAAAATATTGATGAACGCCAAAGATTTTCCAAGTGCCATCATTTTTCACAGCATCCAGCATCCCTTTGTGATCCTACAGGAAATTGTCCCCTCCTCATACACCGTGACTATAGAAGGGGCAAGTGTTCGGAATGGACCATAAAACAAGTGCCATCATTTTTCACAGCATCCAGCATCCCTTTGTGATCCTACAGGAAATTGTCCCCTCCTCATACACCGTGACTATAGAAGGGGCAAGTGTTCGGAATGGACCATAAAAAAATTCTATGTACAAAAAATTTTTTTTTTTTTTTTTTTTTTTTTCCAAAAACCTCAAAGCTCAGACTGGCAGTTCCGATTGGTACGGCGCATTAGGCGTCCCCGGTGCGTCACTCTATACGTAACCGAGCGTGGAGCATACAGTAATGGAGAATGCACGGATAACGAGTAAGAGTTATGCCCCGTCATAATTTGCAATTTAGATTTCATTATCGCTACCTGCCGTTGATACACGAGGATATGCGATTTCGTGGGCGTCGCTACTCCGTGTACTTTTATCATCCGCGTATCCCCGCCGTTCTCCGTCTCACTCGATCTCACGCTGTCACCATGGTTACCAATAACAACGCTAACCCATCCACGTACCTTCGACCGCGTAACCAATACGCAGTAACGAAGTTCGCTTAAATTTCCCTTCACGAGCTTTGGCTCGGTTTACTTTTTCCATGGTCATGTACCACGGCGTGAACGCACCTTTACATACCGGGAGCAAGAGAGACCGCGAAAAGTCATAGGTCTTCCCTAAGAAACATCGTTAAGACTAACGTGAATATTATGCAAGCATACACGAACACCAAAAGGAATTTCATAATCCAAAAGGACATTACCAAAAAGTTACGTACGCTCGTTATGACATCTCCGAGTATGGTTATGTCATGCATTCTCAACATACATACGTAAAAACTAAAGATTCGTTTATACAATGACAAATCTATCGGAACTGCATTTTATCTTCGACCAGTGCAGCCAAGTGCATACAGAAGTGCATCAAAGAACAGCAGTAGGTACCTTCACGTCGGCTTCCTCAGTACCGACTCACGTACCGGTCATTCGCGTTTATCTCTTTCTCTTTTCATATTCACTCGTACACTCTCTCCCTCTCTCTTTCTCTCCCTCCCCCCAATCCTTCTCATCACCAGACATTTCTTTCCCTTTCTACCGATCCAAGCCAAGCGCCCAGCTCGAAGATGCCAGGAATGAATTTTCAAAAAAAAAAAAATTTCCAAAAAATATCAAAGTACAATTTAAGTTTTGTAAAAAAAAAAAAAAAAATTTTTTTTATCCCCCACTGTACACGTACTGTGTCCCTGATTATTGCATTATAAATAATACCGGGTGATTCTAACCTTACCTATTACTAGCCTACCCATTCTATTTATTCCTCTTGTTATCTTAGCCGCAACCGAGAAGAAATTCAATTTGCTCGTCCGTCGGCCCGCAGTTGGCTAAACGCATTACGCATTGCGTACACGCACTCGGGTCCACCTTCCAATGGATTCCTCAGCCTCGCAAGGACAAACCCGACGCTCGCGCAGCTTTAGCCACGTTTCAAGGAAACACGTCGAATGGCATCGGGGGGGTCATAGGTCGACCAACTCTACTCGCCACGTATTACACCTACGTCTAACGTAACGTATGCCGCGTACTTAGAATTGCGACAGGACAGGCTCGGCGGACTACTGCTATAGTTTGCAATTTATAAGCGCAAGGTAGATACATGAGAATTGCCCTAATGCATCGCATGCAAAGTTAACAGTGCTCTAATCTTGCACGATGCGTGACGTCATGCCTGGTACGCATGAGAGTCGATTCTCATAACAGGGATTTTTTTTCCAGTATTTTTATTTTTCTATCTATATATTATTGCTCGTCGAATTTATAATGTAGCAAGGTCAATGACCTTGACCCTGAATTCTAATCTGTTTCGTCTATATACGGTGATCGCGAAAAAAAAAACAATGCCTGGTCGGACCGGCAATAAGGAGGCTGTGCAACGACAGGAACAATAAGAAGGGACCAGGAGTTTCTCTACAGTCAAGATGTAATTCTGTGCACGAGAAATCAGACAGTCGTTGGGAGGAGAGTACGACGGTGGCCACGTGGACACCTTGGCCGACGTGTAGCTTTCCTTCGGTGAAAGCTCGGCTTAATGTCTACAGCATCAGCAGCTGTAGACGTCCCGACTACCTGTTAGACGCTCGCTGTATGGACCAGTGGACGTGTAACGTGCTGGATGAACACGTACGTGGTACGTGTATCCGTACTGGATTAGAAGGTTGGATCGAGGAAAAAAGAAATTTTTTATTATACAATATTTTTGTTTAATTGCAGGTACCGAGAAATTAATCGAAACGTGGACTTAATGGGACACCCTGTATAACCAGTGAGATCGTAGAGTTGTATAGAAATTTTTTCAAAAAAATTTTTGAAAAATTTTTGAAAAATTTTTTACCGTCTGATTTTTCAACGAGTTCATATTTCGATTAATGGCTGTCAATTGATCGGTTATCGATCGATCTGCCGTTCGAGAGAAATCGATGCGAAATTTTATTAAGAGCATATGCAGTTGGTATAGACAATGGGGACCTGATAGATATCGGTATGGAGTGCACAGATATGATTGATCTGTCAATATGTAAGATCGATTTATTGGATATCGATAATTCAAAATCATCTGCGTACCAACATTTTTTTTTTTCTTATCGGCGCCTGATCGAGGGAATCTGGAAACGTTGTCGCGGTTAGCAGCTTCGAGATTTTTCATATTGTTAATAACAATCGTAACCTGATATCTCGCTGGAGGATCCTTTGAAGAAGTTTCTGGCGTAACGGAGCTGCTGTATGTACCGCTAGGAGCCGATACCAATCTGAGCAGTCTTAGCTTTGGTGAGGATCGTGTATACACAAATAACAATAGTAGAAACGTTTGTTGCTACCTGGAAGCATCGAGCCGCGTCCAGCTGGGAAGAGCATTGATAAAAAGGATGAAGAAAAAAAAAGGAAAAAAACGATTTTATACCCAGCAAATAGAGCTTCCGCGTATTAAGTTCTTGAAACGTAACTACTAAATATTCAGACAATGCAATTCCAAGTCCAAGCATGCGCACGGAGCGTGCATCTTAGCTCTGTAGTTTCAGGATCTAATTTTCCGGACTACCCTATACATGCTCTTTAGCTTCACCCAATAACAGGACTCATCGATTGCAATCAATAATTAGAATCGATAGTACACCAGTACCATTCGATATTCCCACTAATGAATATTCAAGCAATCCAAATATATATATATATATATATATACACACTACACAGTCCCAGTACCTAATTCTTGAAAACTGCCCTAAAGTCCCAATCCAATTTCACCCATAAACATGTCACGTTACTAGTAAAAATCGATACTATCAATGGTAGCCCCAGGGGCCATAGTACCCAGCAAGGCCCAAAATAAATGGGTCGAGATTATTTACACACTAATTTTATTCCCCCGTGATTAACTGCATACCCCGTACACTCGATGACTGAACGTTACCATTTTTCATAATCGATTCAGACTCGACCTTTGACCTCCTCTTTATTTTTTCCCAACTCATATCCGATCCCCACCGTTCAATCCCACTGGATCACAGATCCAATAAAACTGGTACCAACCTATCGACCCACACTCGCCACGATAACGCACCCACGAATTTTCACTTTCTTCTTATCCCAGCATCCAGTACCACAATTTTACATTGAAAGATCATCCTCGCGAGATCCTCATATTTTTACTGTGAAATAGAATACGAATTGACAGAAAGATAATAGAAATTCAGTATAGGCTATCCAACGTGCAGTACACGCCAATGGTAGAGTGAACGCTGGTTCTTTTGATATCTACCG